TTTTTTAACCTGGTCAACCAATCATAAATCATTATTAGTATAATTTTTAATATGATTATTATAATTTTTTTAAAATTAACTTATTATATATAAAAAAAAATAGAATTAGATATCGGGAAAAAAATACATGTAATATATTTTATAAGAAATATGTGTTAACATTTTTTTAAAATGTTTATGGCTTACTAAATAATTTAATTATTTTTATGAATGACTAGAAAATTAATATTTGATGGCAATGGAAACAAAAATCGCATCAATATTAAACTGATGTTTAAAGAGAAAAAATTATAGCTTACAAATACAAACTAATATTCAATTACTAGTGTTTTATATGATCTAATCGTACATATAAAATTTACAAGTCACGATTTTCAATATTTTTTGCCCTTCACTAAATATTCCCTTGATCCAATAATGTTTTTGCTTTTTCAAAAATAAAAAATAAAAACAACTACACATTACAAGATTCCGTTTTAGTTGAAAGATTTGTGTTATGAGTTAACTATGTGAAAGAAGTATAAATAGGTATTTTTAAATAATTATAATATTAATATAAAATATCTATGTCATAAATAATAATTAAATATCCATTTTCATAATAATTAATCTTTATTAAAGACTATAAATATACATCTTCTATCTAATGTATTTCATAAAACTAGTATTCGAATCCTAGAAGAAGAAAAAAAGGAGTATAACGCGTTCTTGGTAAATGGAGCGTTACCCTTATTGGTAACATGAACTTCTCAAAAGCCAAACTTTCATCCCAAGCAATGCAAATAAATAATCTCTATTGTCAGTTGATTAGGGATGGCAACGGGACGGGGCGGGTACGGGTTTCATGATACCCGTTCCCGTCTCCGCGAGTTAAACTCATCTCCGTCCCCGTCCCCATACCTGTCGGGTATAGATTTTCATTTCCATCTCCGTCCCTGTTGGGTATCGGGTATACCTGTACCCGTCAATTTTTTTATTTTTTATTTTTTATAAAAAAAATGATATTTTTAATTTATTTTTTTATTATATTATAATCATAATTAAGTTATTTCTTTATCTTATATTATAATAAATAATCACATAAAAAATTATTAAATTTTTTTAATATAATTAAATTAAAAGTGAGTATTAAATTAAAAATGAGAATGGGGACGGGTACGGGTACGGGGCGGGTAAGTACATACCCGTACCCGTACCCGTACTCGATTTAATATATCGGGTTTTACCCATACCCGTACCCATACCTGGTCAAACCAGGTATTTCCCGTCAAAATTGGGACGGGTTCGGGTATTACCCGCGGGTACGGGAATGTTTGCCATCCCTACAGTTGATGCATAGAGTAAGTAATGCGAGTTACTAATTAAAAAGAAAAAACTATTATTATTGTCCTTTGCATCTTATCACTTATTATTGAATAATGCATGATACGATAAAATTAAAAGAAGAAGAATATTATGTGAATACTTTAAATATCACTCTATTCTTGTGAAGGTGTATAATTATATATATATATATATATAGGGGTTATAATTACACCGGTATAACTTTTACCAAGTGTTACATCATTCAATAACTTTATATTAAATGTGAATTTTGTAAATTCAATCGTTAGATTGAAAGTTCATATCACTTTATAAGTGTATATCAAATTTTGTTAAAATTGAACAACATTTTGAAGGTGATAAAAGTGTTCATATTTTAGTATATTTTGAAATGAATATATTACGTCAATTTTGTTTTATAAAAATGAAGTATCAAATCATCTTGGATTAATATAAAATTTTGTATATATGATCTAAGAGATATGAACTTTCGATCTAACGGTTGGATTTACAAAATTCGTATTTAATATAAAGTTATTGAGCGGTGTAACACTTAGTAAAAGTTACACCGGTGTTATTATAACTCCCTCATATATATATATTAAAGACCTACAATAATAGGTAAACAAGGTATAATAACCTGTTATCAATAGTAACACAAAACTAACTAATCTATATTAATCCAATACCCCCCTTAAGATGGGAGAAAAATGTTTTCGATGCCTAGCTTGGACAAGATGCTAAGAAAAGCATTACGAGGCAATGGCTTAGTGAATATGTCGGCCAACTGATGATGATTTCTGACATGAATTAACTTGAGTGCACCTCTTTCTACTTACTCCCTAACATAGTGAAGATCAATTTCTAGATGTTTGGTTCTTTCATGGTATGTAGGGTTGGTTGCAATGTGTATTCTTGCCTTGTTGTCACAGTACGCAGCTGCATATGGTGTGACAATATTGAAATCAGTTAATAAATTTCTCAACCAAGTAAGTTCAATAGAGACTGATGCTAAGGATATATATTTTGCTTCTGCTGAAGATTTGCTGATTGTCTTCTATCTCTTAGCCTTCCAGGAAATTAAGGAATTTCCTAAGAAAATACAAAAATTTATTGTTGATCTTCTGCTATCAATGCATGAACCCCAATCAACATCCACAAAAGCATGTAGTTTAGTTCAGAGGTAGCTTTGAACTGGATGCCTTGACTAGCAATATGTTTTAAGTGTCGTAGAAGCACGTGAGCTGCATTCATGTGTTCAGAATGTGGATTTGATACAAACTGACTTAATTTGTGTACAATATAGCAAATGTGAGGTCGTGAAATTGTTAAACACAATAATCTTCTTACAAGCCTTCTGTATGATCCTTGATCTGCAAGTGGAGAACCCGAGTCTGTATGTAGTTTCAAATTTGCTTCCATAGGTACAGCTGAAGGCTTGCAAGCAAGCATACCACAATCTTTAAGAATATACATGAGTGTGCTACCTGCATCGCTCTGCTCCAGGTGGTATAATTCTTGTGGTCAAGAGGTTGAGACGTGAGAACCAGTCCAAGTCCATCCGAATGATGCAGAAAAAGGGGGTGAGTGGGATCTTGGCTTGGATCTTTAGATTGATTCGTCATGGCTGTGGGCAAATTGATTCAGGGTTGCAAAAATGGTGGATTTGGGTGAAAGACGATGAATGGGAATCACAGGTTGAATCGTTCTAAGAGTTGAATTCTCTCTTCTGATACCATATTGAATACTGCAAAATATGATAAAATTAAAAGAAAAATACTTTGTGAATACTTAAAATATTACTCTCTATTCTTGCAAAGGTGTACAACTATATATATATATATATATATATATATATATATATCAGTGACCTACAATAATAGGTAAACAACCTATAATAACCTGTTATCAGTAGTAACATAAAACTAACTAATCTATATTAATCCAATACTTATACTAAAACAACATATATAACACCCATCTTAATACTCCTATATCAAACTCTTATACATCTTTTTCTTTTTTGTTCAAACATGCTACTTTATCATTTTTATTGTTCACAAACAATGTTTTAAACACTTTGTTGTCATTTTGCTTTTACGAGAGACGACAAGATCTGAAAAGCTTAAAACTCACCTACCATGGTTACCAACAAGCCAAAGCATGATAAACGCTATTTATATCAACATAAAAACACATCTTAATATTTTAGCACGAGTACAAATTTACTAGTTTAACATAATTTGTATGTGTGTCTTTTTTTTTTTTTGGCTAAATTACTTTTTCCATTCAGTTTTTTTTAAAACTTATTTTTATAAATATTAAAATATTATATTTCCATCAAATTTTTATTAATGTGTTATTTTTAATAGTAATAATAATAATACGTTTTTTTAATATATTTTTGTATTTTCTAAAATTTTATTAAAAATTATAAATTCATGTGAATTTTATTTCTCAATCCAAAAGTCTCTCCTAAATTTACAATTTATTTTTAAAAATCAACTAACAGGAAAAAAAAACATGTAAAATAATGTATTATAAATCAAAGTGCTTGTGATTATTGAATAGTCCACCCTAATGTGCTTGTGAATAATCTAACTGTTAAATTTTTAAAATTTATATTTAATATAAAGTTATTAAGCAATATAATACTTAATAAAAATTATACAGTATCGTAACCTCCTCTATAATATTATAGATTTAAAATAATGCACCATAAAAGCACTCTACAGATACAAAGTGTTGATTTCCACTAATAAAGTATAAGACCGATAATTTTCAACAATAATAAAAAAATCAGTGTAACATATAAATGTTTTAAAATAAGTGTGACAACGAGTTTATTACTAATTAATTTAATTTAATATCCTCATGAAGTAACAGAAAAAGCAATGAAGTTCAAAATAAAAAAAAGAAGGGCATTCGAGTAATTTAGTATTGTAAAGGACAGGTGTCGAGAGGCGGAACGAGTAGCCCGTTCCTGAGTTTAAATAAACAACAAATAATGACGAAGCCGAAACACGACAGCACAGGCATCTGCATCCCATAAATACAACACTTGTTCCTCTCACTTCCCAGATTCAGAAAAGAAAAAAAAAAAAAGAAGAAGAAGAAGAAGAAAAAAGAGGGTATTCCCAACGAAGAAGGTATGAGAACAAGCAACCACTTGATCGGTGTCCTAAACTTCCTAACGTTCCTTCTGTCGATTCCGATCCTGGGCGGCGGCATATGGCTGAGCAGCCGAGCCAACAGCACCGACTGCCTGAGGTTCCTCCAGTGGCCGCTCATCGTGATCGGCGTCAGCATCATGGTGGTGTCGCTCGCGGGGTTCGCCGGCGCCTGCTACCGCAACACGTTCCTCATGCGCCTCTACCTGCTGGTGATGTTCCTGGTCATCGCGGTCCTCATCGGATTCATCATATTCGCGTACGTTGTGACGGACAAAGGGGGCGGTCGAAGAATCACCAACCGCGCCTACTTGGAGTACTACCTTGAGGACTACTCGGGGTGGTTGGAGGAGCGCGTGGCCAGTGATAGCTACTGGGGGAAGATTAGTTCCTGCGTTAGGGATTCTAAGCTTTGTGCCAAAATGGGCAAGACCATTAATGGCGTTCCCGAGACTGCTGATATGTTCTACCTCCGACGGCTCTCGCCTGTTCAGGTATCACTTCTTCTTTCAATGCTTCTAATTTATAAGCTTTGATTCAACACCCTTTCATATCAACTTCTACATGATTTATTTTTAGTTTCGTCACTAGTTTCTAATTTAAGTATTGAAGGGTGAACGTGAACCTTTCTTGTTTGGCCTGTTGCTCAAATTTTGTTGTAATTGTTATAATTTTTAATTTGAAAAATATAAATTTATATTAAGAGTGTTTTGGATAATTATATTTAGATTATATGTATAGTATTTTTTTTTAATTTGTTTATGATATTTAAATAAAATAAAAAGTCAGTATTTATATAGTAAATCAGTTTTTATTTTTTTATATAGAATAATTATAAACTTTAATTTTTTGGATATATAAAAATATTTTTTTTAGAAATTTTAATCATTGTTCTAACTAAGAACATAATTTATTTTGCAATTAATTTGTTTCTTCTTAAAAAACACAGGAAAAAAATATAATTTCTCAGACATATTCGACATATAGTAATGTTATGAGAATTGAAAAGTGTGACTGTTAATATAAGTTTTTGAGATATTCAATTTTATTAAATATTCGCCTCACAGTAATCTTGCCGGATTAAAAAAAGAGAGGATCATGTTGAGGATACTCATTCCCAAATAAAAAACTGAAAAAGAACTTTGAAGGAAGGAAGGTGCTCCGAAATTGGGATTACTTTCGACTTGTTTTTTATTTTTATTTTTTATTTTTATTTTTTTATAAATTTTGGAACACGTAAAGTAAGCAAGTAAGTTTGGGATTTTTGTTACGTTACATTTTTTTTTTAATAAATGCACAACATGATGTTTGAAAGAGAAATATGAGAGACTTTTTTCCCCTAAAAAACTTTATCTTTTAATCCTTTATACGTTTGTAAACGCGGAGACTATAATCTATCTATCTTTTTCAAGTTATAATATTTTCAAAGATCGATGAGATTTAGTTGATATATATAGGGTTTCACTTAAAGACAAATTGTCTCTTGTATTTCTTACGGGGAGGGTATCTTTTAGTGCATTTAAAGAAAGTATGGGTCGTACCGTTGTAGAGAAACAAATTGAAGAAAATGAAGTGCATGTTTCATTAAATAGGTAGATCTGACTATAGCAGTGGATCTCTCTGCAGCATGTGGGGGGGATGGGTTTTCACTCGTCAATGCCCGAAATTTATGGTTCTGTGTCCAAATTGATTGGAACCTAAGCTAATGGGGGACATATAAAGAAAAAAGAAAATATGGCATCACTATACTCTAGCGCTCATAATTCATCAACATTATTATGGAAAGGTCGTGTCATCACTGCTAGATACCAAATGAGTCATCGTCACATTTTTTCCTTTAATTTTTACATAATTCTCTTTAGTCTAACATCACACCGAGTGATAATCTTATAACATGTCATCAACACATTTTTCCAAGAGGTATGTGAGTAATGACAGATAGACAGTGATGTATTATTAGACGGTGGCCACGTTGCAGATAAGTAATGCATTATGGGACTCAAAATGGCATTCACAAAACATAATCATGATAACAAAGAACTGTAATTTGTCATAATTGCTTAAATATGAAAATTAGTAGTGTGATTAACTTATTAAATTATGATTTGAAAAATTGTGTTTAGGTTTTGGAATTTGAAACTTATGGGGGGCTTAATGATCCTATATTTTTTAGTATTGTTTTAGGCCATATTCCCTACCTTTTTATGGTCTTGTTAATTAAGCATCATAATGCCGACTTTGCATAGTGAGTTTGAATTATTGACTTTTTTTGGTTTCTAATTCTGTTTGATTTCATTTCATTACACCTGTATACTTTTATTTTTGTGGGGCAAACCTGATGTATACATATAACCTAATACTTGTCGCTTTCTCCTTTTTCACAAACTCCCCCCAAGTAATATAAGAATGTTCTAGGATACGATTAAAACTTTTGTTTGAAGGGCTGGTGTGGCTAGCTTTTTTATTTTTTCTTTTATCCGTATTATTTATCTTTTAGGTGGAATATCCTGTCTCTCTTTTGTTTGCTAGTGTAGTACAGTGTGTAAGAGGCTGGTGGGACAAAATTGTAGAAGAAATTAGAATCCTGACCATGATTTTTACGCACCCAATTATCTTCTATTTTAATGCAATTTGTTCATTGTTTTTAGATATGTTGAGTTTTATTATTATGTTCATTTTAATTTAGAAAAACAGTGATATAATTGACATTCACTGTAGAATATTATTGGTAAAGATACGTGGATGGCGTTTATATGTTAAAAAAATAAAGTACTAGTTATCTTAGTTATATGGTCAATAGTTTTATGATTTAAGGTTCTGACTTCAAAGTGTTGATTAATTATGTTGTGCCAGATATTTAGATCTTTTAGAATGACTTGACAGTTTCCTTATCTGATTATTGTTTCGCGTTTTGCTCCGATTGGTAGATGAGATAGGCAATTTGGTCTGCATGTTATGATCCATGCCACAAACACAAAGTAACTTTTGAGTGCATGCCGTAACATTTTTCTAGGGGAAAGAAAAAGGGCAATTATAGTTTAACTGCAACGAGACACAAGAAGACAAAAGACAAATACAAAATCTTTTTCAGAACACAAAATATTCATACAACTGTTTTCAAAAAACTTGGAACAGGACAACAACAGGTGGTAGCTCGTTTCCAATTGTTCTATTGGTTCAAAACACCCGTGTGCACAATTTCTCCCATACGTACATTAATTTTTTTTTGCACCAATCAGAAGCAAAAGGATTTTTTATTTTCATTATTTTATTTATTTATTGATTAAATAAAGTAACATTACTAGAAAATTCTTAGCATAAGTTATTTAACATTTATGTTTCTTAATCGATAATCAAGGGTCAATCTTTCACTTGTACATAGAATTATAATATTAAAAAAGAAAAGGTTAATTATATCTCTTAGTTATAGAAAATAAGAAAGTATTAACAATCTTTTAACCTATACTTTCTAATACACTAATTTTTGTAAAAACTACAAAAATCAAAAGTAAAACTCATTAAAGAAAGAGAAAGTTTAAAAGAGTGTCAACAACACACATTTTAACATACACTTTCTAACATTATTTTTTGTAAAAACTACACAATTATAAATAAAACTCATTAAACCAAGAGTTTGTTCAAAATAGTGTATTAAGAAGTGTGTCAAACCCATTTTTCATTCAATTTATTGAAAGAATTAGGAAAATTTCATTTTGTCAACCAAATTGAACATGTTGCTAAACCCATTTGTGATGCAATTTATTGAAATAATGTTCTCCTTTTGTGCTATAGTCTGGTTGCTGCAAGCCCCCAACAGAATGTGGCTATATCTACCAAAATGAGACAGTGTGGAACCTAGGATCAGGTTTGATGGCAGCCAACCCAGATTGCACAAAGTGGAGCAATGACCAAGAACAGCTATGCTATGCCTGTGATTCTTGCAAAGCTGGTGTGCTGGCAAGTCTGAAGAAGAGTTGGAGGAAGGTCTCAGTGATCAACATTGTTGTTATGATAATCCTTGTCATTGTTTACATAATTGCTTATGCAGCATATAGGAACAACCGCAGGATGGATAATGATGAACCCTATGGTGAAGCCAGGATGACAAAGGCACAACCTAGTGCATTTCATCTTTAGTGGCACTATTTGGATGCCAAAAAAAGGTTTCTGTGACATGTCTTAGGATTTTGAGCCTTAAGTAACTAGGTTGCTCTCATGGTTTTCTATCAAAGAACCGTAACATGAATTTGGTTTTAATCTTGGAAGGCTGAATGTATTTAATTATTGTTATATTTGCTTGCTGTACAACTTCTGTTTTTGCTTTGAAGATACTCATTTTGTATTAGTACTGACAGATTATTCAGAAGAAGAAAAAAGTATTGATAGATTTGTAAATTTGGAAAATAGTAACAAAACTCATTTGATCTTTTGCACCTAACACGTTCGTTTTCAATTTTTGGTTAGGAAATATACTTGGTGGACGCAAATAGAGCAATGATATATTGAACCATATATTTTAGGAACATCTAGTTGAATTTAAGATTTAGCGTGAAATTGATTTAGGTTTCATTTGGATAAATTATTTTATAACACTTATTAAAAAAGAGTAAAATACTTTTTTTTAAAATTAAAATTAACTTATGCATGTATTTAATTCTTATAGAAGTTCTTCTATTTTTATTTTTTAAAAGTTAAAATGTATAAGTTATTTTATTTTATTTTATCTTTTTGTTAATTTCTCCTCCCATAAGTAATTATGCAACGTTTACCCAAATGATGCCTTTCTCATAATGTAAAAGCTTATTGGCAACATAGATTGATTCAGAATCAACACTGTAATATAAAACATAGTTCACCATAATATGGTTTATATGATTGATTCAGAATCAACACTGTAATATAGTTTTAGGATGAGATAAATTATATTAAAAAGAAAATATTTATTTTTTTATATGTAATTCTTAACAAAGATTAATAATTATTTTTAATGGTAGATATTCGTATTAATATAATAATTATTAAAAATAAATAAATAAATATTAGCTGATTCGGAGTGGTGATAATGACCAAGATTAGGCATTGAGAATTGTTATATAATCCAGAGGATATCACGATAATGACCGGCGTAACAGACTCCAGTACACAATCCAATGCCTAATTTATTTATTTTTTTTCGTCCATTGAGTATCCACGACTGATAGCAGCGGCTAATTCCTCGCTACGTTGGAGATACATCAAAAAGTGAGATAACTGATCCCAAGATTTAACGTAACTACATACACAAGATAAGATTCGAAGTTTCGAACTCCTGACCTTATTTAAGCGTTGATCAATCCCTATCACTAAACCACACGCTAGGTTCAATCTAATGCCTAATTCGGCTACATGAAATTATATACTTTTATAATAGTCTTGGGCCACAACTCACGCTCTGGAACACTGCTGGACTTTTTCCGATGGTTATTTTTGGGTCTTTTATAAAATATGGCAGAGCAATTCTTTGTGACAGGGGATCCAAAATAATTTAATAGTTGCGGTGGATGTTTTATTTTATTTTATTTTATATTTTTTACTGTTTAAATCATTGTCATGTTAATCTTATATTGCGTTTAAGTACACATGGCCTCAAACTTCAATAATAAGTATCCTTATTGATTATCAACCCATTGAGTGAATATTTGTTTAATTTTTTTTAAAGATAAATGTTTATTTTTAAATAACTTTGTGTATAATGTAAAATTAACCATATGAAATATTATCCTAAGACTTATGAAAATTATTCGTTTTTACATTTTGTGAATATGTAACTGAAAAACATTAATTTACATTACAAATAATATATCATAAAATAAAATACAATAATATGATGAAATATCGATAATTTTATTAAATTATATGAAATTAAACACAATTGATTTGACTGTGCTCCACAATGCACGTGAACATGAAAAAAACTGTTCCCATTTATTTCAAGAGTTTTTCGAGCTAGGTGGTTTTATCAATTATTTTGTCGATGCTTCTTTATTTTAGAAAGTTAAATCCTTGTCTTTCAATAAGCAGGACACGAAACAATGATGGTGAATTCAAATCCTGACAGTCTCCACAGATTATGACACTAGTGATCATCTATACTTTGAACCTTGAACCTTTCACCACCCAAGATGTTTTGAACATCATTTGATTTGGAAAAGCCTCATGAATCATTGGACAAGTTAGTGTGTGCTGCTGGGGTTGGTCTTGCATGCATTTGGGAAACATCTTCTGTCCTGATTCCATTGTGTGTGCAAAGGGAGAGGTTCAAAATGATGCTTAAATAATAATCAAAGACTCAACAACCAAAAAGAAGAGTTGCTAAGAGTGAAACAGGTACTATGGCCTTAACTTTAATGACTTAATGAAGCCTTGCCTTAAGAAGATTGCTAATGCTCATGTTGAAATTGGATTTCAGATTTGTTTCTATCTTGAGGATAGGACATCATTAATCCACATAGATCAATATATGTGTAATAGTCTTTATTGGATAGAGATTAATAGATCTCATTTATTAAATTACTCATATAAATAGTGCATATAGGGATATGACTATTGAACAGACTCTATAAAGGAGAATTCTTAATGGTTATGTATTACCTTAAAATTTTGTCAATAGGAAATTCTTAAGAAGAAATATATAATTTCCTTAGACTTGAGATTATCATAATAATTAACAAGATATTTATTATACTTTGATTTCGGACACCTAATACCTAAAGGTGTTAGTTGAATGATTATTGGGTGTAATTAAATTCTTGTAGAATTAAATGATTAATCAAGAAGGGATCCATCAACTCTTGGTAATGAGTTTGAGCTTTATAATGAAAATAAGGACCTTGGCCAAGGCAATTGAAATAATAAAGAAAAAAGAGTTTTTCTTGTATTTTTCATTATATGTTAACTGATTAAAATTTGACAATTAAATCATATTCTAAAGATAATTTAGAGCTGTAAAATGATGAAAGGAAATTTTATGTTAGTCTTCTAAAAGGTTCTTGAAAATATTATTTCATACTATCCGGACGTTAAGGAGTGTTGCTAGACGCCAACCTTGATTAGTAAATTAATGTAGTTAATTTACTACCGATTTAGTTTTGAACCTACAGGGTCACACAGTAACGAGTGTTCTAATCTTTGCTCAAGAAAATTTATTATTTGATAATTAAATTAAAGAATTTGATTTTACCAAATAATTATTTTCTTATAAATAAAATATTATTTATTTATTTTTGACTAGCATCAAAATATAAATAGTATTTATTTCTATTAAGATAGAAAAGCACGTCAGTTTTTCAATTTCAAATTGAAAGATTCAATTTGAATTTTGACCTAGTCAAAAGTGGTTTTGATAAGAAAAGATAAAAACTAATTTCTTTTGGATATTTGATAATTCCTATTTTTTAGAAGATAGGATATGGAAGTTGTTGCTAAGTGAATAGATATGTTTACATATTTATAAATATACAGCTCCACTGTGGAGAAAAATACACAGAGAAACCATAAGAAAATTAGTTTTTTTTCTCTCTTATATCCTATGCTGAAAAGTTGCTCAGTCAAGAGGTTGACAAACAAAGATTAGTTTCGGTGTGGATACACGTGGGACCTTCATAGTTTTGAAGGAAATTTTTTAAATTTCAGACTTCAACCGGGTAAACTTTATTTACTTTCATAAATATCCTATTAATTATCATGTGTGATTTTAACATAAAGTAGATCTTTTTATTTCCGCTACACATATTTAGAACATGATTGAACTTTCAATTAGTATCAGAGCTTGTTTTTATGCTATATATTACACTGTTAGTAGTTAATAGATTTCTGAAACCTTATATGTGATATTGTTATTTTCACGATTCGCATATACAATTTTTGTTTATGAACCGGATGCAAAGTGGACGTGGTGGAGTTTTGAACCACGTGGTTGCAGCAGCCTTGACGGGAGTGCCCGAAGTGCTTGATCGGTGCTGTGTGAAGAGCCACAGCAATCCAATCTCACGTGAGGGTCTAATTGGTCTGAGAAAAGGTTTCCAGGCCTTGTTGCCTTGATAGAGCAACGCTCTCAATAATAATAATAATAAAATAAAATAATTTGATTTAGCGTTTCTTTTTTCCAATTAATATGATATGGGACGTAACACATATGTTATATCATGTTTACGAATTGAAAAAAGGAATTTGGTTTCCACGGATTAGAAATTATTTTAATTAACAAACAGTTTGTTAACATATTTTAAATTCATGAATTTCATGCATCGAAAAATTGTTTCCAATTCAATGACATATATTCAGAATCATAAAATATTAATTTGTTAATATTTTATTATGAGAAATTTGATAGTTCAAATTAATTATTTGGAATAGTTTCGGTTCTCTATTTTTTTAAACCTTTTATAAAGTATATTAGATGTATATTAATTATTAAGTACGACCTGACAACCAGGGGACTTGTGATTAATTATTGCATAAGATGCGAATTTGGAATTAATTTATACTGAGTGCCTAGACAACCTAGGAAAATATAAAATTAATCTAAGGATATTAATAGGAGCGACCTGACAACTAGGGGACTTGTGATTAATTATTGCATAAGATCGAATTTGAAATTAATTTATACTAAGTGCCTAGACAACCAAGGAGAGTATAAAATTAATCTAAGGATACTAATAGGAGCGACTTGACAACCAGGGGACTATTTAGTATATTATAAAATAAAATAAAATTATATGACTTAAAAGATGTATGGAAAAATGACTTGACAACCAAGTATTTATTCATAAATTTAAGATATTTATTTTTCTTGAGAAGAAATAATAATTTCTTAATATTGCTTTTATAGTCAGTGGGAAAATTTTTATTTTATTTGAAATTTTTGAATATGATCTGACATATTTATTATTTATATTTTTAGATATCTTCAAATGTCTACTATATCACTTCGTTCTATACTTGCTGATGAAAAGTTGGTTGGATCCAACTTTGATGATTGGTACCGTACATTGAGAATCGTTCTCATGCATGAAAAGCTTATTGATGTGATTGATAAGCCTGTTGTACCTCAACCTGCTAATGGAGATGAACAGGCAACCAATGCTTATAAAAAGTACTTGGAAGACTACATGAGCACCAAATGCCTCCTTTTGGCATCTATGAGTTCTGAACTTCAGAGGCAACATGAGGACATGGACCCAGTTGACATTATTAATCATCTTAAGAAGATGTATGGTGGACAAAGTAGAACTGCTAGATTCCAGCTGTCTAAAACTTTGTTTAGGTCCACATTGACTGCTAATGCTGAAGTAGGACCCCATGTTCTAAAGATGATTAGTCTTATAGAACAGCTTGAGAAGTCGGGGTGCAAACTTGGAAAAGAGTTATCCCAAGACTTGATCTTACAGTCACTCCCTGGGACGTTCTCATAATTCATTGTTAACTTTAACATGAACAAAATGGATTGTGATTTGCATGAGATGCTGAACTTATTAATTGATTATGAGAATCAAATTGCCTTTGAAAAATCCAAAGGAACTGTGATGGTAGTTGGTAAATCCAACAGCAAAAAGGGTAAAGGTAAGACTAAGCCCAAAAAAAAAAAACCTTTTGCAGCTAAGGGTGGTGTGACCAAACCCAATCATAAGAAAGTTACGATTGACAAAAGTGATGTTGAATGCTTCTATTGCAAACAAAAGGGACACTGGAAGAGGAATTGCAAGAAGTATCTTGATTCTCTGAAGGAAAACAAAGATGAAAAATGTTTTCATGATCTCTTTAACTGTTACTGATTCTTCAATGTGGGTATTAGATACTGGTAGTAGCTTTAACATATGCAATACGTTGCAGGGGCTATAGATAACTAGAAGGTTGAAGAAAGGAGAAGTCAATCTTCAAGTTGGGAATGAAGCAAATGTTGCTGCTTTAGCTTTAGGATCAAATTCGTTAATAATGCCTACTGGCAAAGTGCTAGTGTTAGAAAATTGTTATTATATTCCAAAATTTGTTTTGAATATTATTTCAATTTCTATGTTGGACAAACGTGAAGGTTTGCTAAAATAAACAGCATGCAATAACATGATTTAAGATCATATATTCTTCTCATTTCATTAAGAAAACCTCAAGAACAAAGCACCTTGGGTTCAACCCTTAAAATTTCAACATAAAACATCATTTAAGCATGAATTAAACACATAAGTTCATAAGGTTAAACTACAAGTTTCCCTAACCTCAAATTTGCAAGAAACAAGGAAAGGAAGAAAATGGCAAATAACAAGACTTCTCAAACCCTCACCGTAAGACAACCTTAACCTTAGATTCTTAACTCTTTAGCTTTGAATCTCTACTCAACCACTACAATCTCTGCTTCGGAAAAGAATTAGAGTAGGCATGACAACGGGGCGGGGCGGGTACGGGTTTCGTGATACCCGTCCCCGTCCCCGCGACTGAAACTCATACCTGTCCCCGTCCCCATACCCGGTGGGTATGGAATTTTTATCCCATCCCCGTCCCCGTCGGGTATCGGGTATACCCGTACCCGTACCCGTTAAAATTTCTTTTTTTTACAAATTTTTTTCAACTTATCTTTATAATCCCAAAATTCCACAAATCTGACAGGAACGAATTAAAAATCTAAACCTAAATCCAGAAAATGATGAATCCAGAAAAAGCAAAAGCCACAAAGCAAAATAATGGAGGAATAGAAAAAGGTAGGGAACGAATCGAAATTGGACGAAAGAGGCAACAGAAGGAGCACCTTGTGAAAGGAGAGGTTATTTCCAAATTCACCGACGAGTTCCCTGACTCTGCGGATGGCGCGGTGGCTCCGTGGCTGGTCCGGTGGCTCCGTCGCTGGAGTGCTTGGTCGTCGAATGGGGTTTGAAAATTGAAACCCTAATAAGTGTTTGCGTTGCTCTTGTTCAGCGTGCGTGACCCTTTTACATTTTAGAACAAAATGTTAATTTTTTAAAAATAAAATAAACCGGGGACGAGTATTTAACCGGGGACGGGGATAGGGACGGGGACGAGGACGGGGACGGGGTGGGTAAGTATATACCCGTCCCCGTACCCGTACCCGATTTCTTTTATCGAGTTTTACCCGT